TCGCGGGGGGCGCCCCCCCCCCCCCGCAGAGGCCCTGGCACAGCACTCATGGCTGCTCTGCCCCACAGGGCCGGGCACTGTGTCCCACCACAGTATGAGTGCTGACAGCCACTGGCAACCCGAGGAAAGCCCACCCTGCACTGTGACCACCAGAGACCAGGGTGTGCCATGCACTTACTGCCGGGGGAGGACTCCTCAGCCGCCGCATGCTCCGCAGGGCTGGGCTGGGGAAGGGTTGTGGCCCTGAGCGCCCTGGGGCAATGCTGCAGCTCAGCTGCTCCTACGGTCTGTGCAGGCAATAAACCTGCTGCCACCCTGCCCGTGTCCAGCAGCTTCCTGCCCCTGCCCGCCTGTGCAAAGACACGTTACACCAGTTACCCCAGGGTGGCATGTGGCACCTGCTGGCTCCTGCCTCTCGCCCGGAGGGTGCTGAGTCCATCACAGCACCCGCTCGGCCCCCACCTGCCCAAACGAGTCCCCGTGGTGAGGGGAGCCCACTGCACCCCCACGCTGCCAGTGCGCCTGTGTGTGTGTCTGCGAGCATCCCAGCGTGTGCGCACACGTCTGCCTGCGCCTGTGCGCGTAGGTGTATATACGCGGCTGTGCCTCGGTGCCTGCGTACGTGTGTGCGCACATGGATATGATTATATAGAGGCATGGGAAGTATATGTGTGTGCTTGTGTGCATGCATGCCTATGCACGTATAGATGCGCGCGTGTGTGTAGAGGCGGGTTTGTGTATGTGTGTACGCACGCGGATGTACACGTGTGCATGTATTCCAGTCTCTCTGTGTGCATAGGTGTGTGTGCCTGTATGTGCCACGCACGTATGCGTGCTGCGTACACGTGGGAGTGCAGGAGTATGTATGCACAGTGTGCACACACGTGTGCGCATGGATGTGCGTGTGCACGCATGGGTCTGCCTGTGCCCACGTGCCCGTGCGGGTGGGTGTGTGGGTGGGTGCATACCCGCATGTGTGCGTGTGTCCGTGCCTCTGTGCGTGTATGTCCACACCTGTGCGCGCGTCCATGTCTCTGTCCATACGTGTGTCTGTGTGTCTGTCCATGCACCCACACCGGCACACATGTCCGTGTATCCATCTGTGGGCCCACACTGGCACACGTTTCTGTGTGTCCGTCTGTACAGTCCCACGTCGGTACGGGTGTCCGTCCATAGGCGCACGCCGGTACGCGTGACAGCCCGCGCCCCTTCAC